CGTCGACTAGGGCTCGTCACAGTAGCAGCTGTCGTCGCGGCCCCATCACCCCATTGCGATTTCCATCCCTCTCTGGCCTCACTCGGCACAGGTATCCTCTTCGGCAACGCCACATGTTCGGGAAGGTCCACAGGCATCGGAATCCTGCTTGGCAAGGGTGGAGTCTCCGGTGATGATATTTCCTCTCCCTCCACTTCTCCTCCACTAGACCGCAATGACCAATATTCATAGGAATGTTGCCATTCCTCTTGGCCGCCTCCAACCACCCAATTCCACCTACAAAAGGGGTTGATGACCGCCAACCATAGTGACACTCGACTTCGTGTACAGTTCTGTACCCACAAGTCAATGCCAGCGATTAACCGTACCATAACACAGTGAACTCTCGCCACATTATATTCCACGCGATCTCTCCAATCCCCCTACTATCAGTTTCCTCCCCTTCTGTAGACCACCACGAGTTACTCCATCCACTATCTCCCCGTCCCGCTGGCCTACTACTAGCCGTTGTCGATGGACCACCATCGCAGGGCCCTACACGCACCCAGTACTCCACAGCAAACACCGATACACCGCACCGTTCACCCTCCACCCTTCGCCGTTATCATCAGTGCGATTCACGGGGGTCTGCAGCTCAGCTGACGCCCTGAAGTGAAAAGGAAGGCTCAGGCATGTGAGACCACTCACCCTCCATCTTGACGAGGCCGTGGATTTCGCTGTGTAGGGAAGGTACCTGAGGACACGATTGAACTCCTAACCAGCACAGCCCCGAGGCCGGCGATTATACAATTTCATCCGACTTTCGCAGAAATGTATTCGACAAGCCAATGAAAGTTAGAACCCTTCATACACATACATGCTAGCCATAGACTTGCCAAAGCTCTCGAGCCACTGCAAGCAGACTATGTGTTCCTACACCTTCCAAAAGGACCCTCCTCCAAGCCCATCGGCTGCGGTTCTTGCCGAGTATACATCTCCCATCCTCCTGTTGGCACCGACTGGACTAAGGACACTACACTGCATAATCGTCAAGTTATAACAAAACTACGCAGCATGGGAATGTTCGGCCGTTTCCTATCCCTACTACTTCACAATACTAACAGGTACAGTAATTCCACTACGAATATGAT